TAAGCTTGAAGCCTCGAAATTTTGTGAAATGTTTTCAAAAACTCAAGCGTAATTACAATTTAATGGAATTTATTCTAAAATATAAAATTCTATATCGTTATTATTAAAGTGTAATTAAGAATTAAATATACCGTAATTTAATTAAACATATATTATTGCAAAAATTTTATTTTGCAGATTTTTTCCGCTATGTAAAAAAATGATTTCTACTTTGCATTGCAAAGCTTAATTTATTTCAAGCTTCCAAGATAATTATCACTTTTCTTTTCTTAAACTATATCCGAAGCAAATCTGATCATGTATGAAATAAGAAATATTTTCCTATTATACATAGATAGCTGTATAAACAAGAGAAATTTCGGGAGCACTTGAATAACGTGGCAATTTCTCGACGCACTTGAATGATAGTTTGCAATTTTCAACACCGATTTCGATCATAGTCGAAATCGAGGAAATTATGGCGATCCCGTGTGTGAAGGTCTGCGAATTATCGTGACCGCTCCTGGTGTATGCAAAATGATTGGTCATAGCTGGCAGAATTTCAGGTCTCAAGACGGTAACAAATAGAAATGACAAATAGAAACGATCGAACTGTCAGTAGAGTGTAAACGAGGCGTTGGACCATAGACAAAAGACTCTTCCATTTTGCATTTGCTCAGCGATAGTTGGATGAATTTGTTCGCGCAAACTCCGGACCCTAATTCTCACTAAAGTAGGCAAATCATCAAAGCAGTTAAAAAGCCATTACATCACACTTTATCTGAGCGACCAGAGGACGTCCTGTATGTCCTAAGAACGTACTTTCTCAGGGATGTCCCAGGTTCAAATTCTGGCTGAGGTAATATTTTTCGCAGCAAATAATTCTTTATTTCACGTCGTTAGAGTAAGCCCTAGTAAAAATGAACTACTAGTGCATTGATAACACTACTGAAATGTAGTAGTGGCATTGCTTGTATAGCAGTGATACTAGTACATTTCAGTAGTGTTTTTACTGTCTAGTAATTCTTTTTTACTAGGGAGGGGAATTATAGATGTCAGTGAGCATCAATATTTATTAAATTGATTATTAATTTAATAATCATGATAATATTGTTCTGTTTCAAGCAAAGAGCTGTGTTTTGAATCCGTAAGTAACGGCGCACAGGTTGTGAAATTAGAATATGTATATAATAAATTCATGTAGAAATATTAGGATTACCAAGATCCTGCTATGACCGCGGATGGTCTTCTATCAATTTAATTTGTGTTATATACACGGACAGTCAGGATATATATTGTTATATTGTTTAAAACTTTTAATTTATTCAAAATTCTTAAGAAACACATTAGCTCTACCGTCTAGTTAATAAATGTTTTTAAAATTTAAGTTTAATTCCGGTACTAATAAAAAAATAAAAAGTGTGAAAAAGATAGTGAAAGAAGGAAGTATAATATCGAATGCGGATAAAATTATTAAAATAATAATAAATAACATGCTAAGTATAGTGCAAGTGTCGCAGTCAGTAAAATGTTAGCTGAATGTCATTAGATTGACAGCATATTTGATCAGAAAATATTAGACTGAATTCATTTGAAGTTGCATTCTACTTATATTCTGTTGACAAAACTTGCTGACAGACTTTAACGTCAGATTGACGATAGAAATCGAGCAA